CAGGAATTTAAACGAAACGTGACGGTACAGTGTTATATCCTGTTTAAGAATCATAAACAGCTCGGCTTAATTCATTAAAGTGTTCTTCTCAGGACAACCCTTGTCTAGTAATTAGCCCGCTAGAAAAGCGAATACTACTTTAAGTAAGGGTAGAAAAAAGCTCAAGTGCCACCAATAACAAACTATATTTTTACACAAATCTGCCATTCAAGAGGGACTGCCTTTCTTACGTTCTGACCAAAATTATTTCGCCAACTTTCTAATTACTAAGGAAAAATTTAAAAATAGAAGAAAAACCAGAACGAACCATAACCCTCTGTGTCTTCCTCTTCCCCATTTTACCCCTGTTTCATCTTCTAGCATAAATAACACTTCTGTCTTATAAATTGTGTTATCAACCCACCTCTCCTTTTTGTTATTGACCTTCGTAGCGCCCTCTGTTCTCTCGTTTTTCCCCATATCTCCTCATGGTTAACCTTTTGTACCCCCGGTGTATAATGCCATATCTTAAATGCTTCCAATTGTTTCTTTTCCGACTCGATCCTGAGGTATTTTACGTTTTATCTTTTTAATGCGACTTATTCTACCTTCACTCCGTGATACACCAATACTTTTGATTTATATAATATCCAAGTATAGGTAGTATATCGCCATCTAGTGAGGTTTAGATAAATATCGCAGTTTTTATCCGGAAATTTCGTGTAAATGAGTTGCATTATATCTTCTAAACATCTAAATATCATTCTAAATTAATTGCGAAGAGTCAACCGGCATCAATTACTAAATAAGGAAGTTCATACCGGAAGTACTTACCTAAATTACATTCGACGTATGTATGCAGCAGACTAGATAAAGTAAATTTAGCTTCAATAAATAATAATCTGTAGGAGTAGAGAAGATAAGCTATTACCACCCACGTATATCGCACAACATTTTCAGGCATTTAATTAAATGATAGTTGTTAATTGCTATAAAGCTCGTCTACCTTTGCCATTTGATGAAGTTGGTCGTGAATTTAAAATGAAGAAGTCTCTTTATTGTTTAAACTAATGATGCACCGGAGAGTAATTTTTCCGGGTACCGGATAAACGGTTACTCGCTTTTAGCTGCGCCGGGTACACGGCCGGATCCTAAACAACTGCCGGATCCAAATCGGGTACCCAGTTTAGACTGATTCCATCATATTATCTTAATTAAGATTTGTATAATCGGTTTAACCAACTGTACAATAAAAGAATTCGTTATTATCTACCACAGGATTTACAATTGTTTTGTATATTTTTATGTACAATTTTAGTTTTAACCATATGATCCGTCTTAATAAGAATGAATCCTTAAGGGAAACAACTGCATCTGAATATATTTTTGACTGACAAATCTTCCCTAGAAATAAAACATTAACGCATTAGTTGCGGTTTTCCGTTTGTGAAATGCAAAGTGGAGTGTGCAACCCCTAATCTGGACTTGGTGAGCACGATATTCAAATAATTCTCGAACAGATCAGAGAACGGAAAAGCTGTTTACCGATCGCTTACAGAGGCTGAAACGACGGTGGAAATAAGTATGCATAAAAATAGCTGGTGGAGAGATCGCCCAAAAGGGTTGAAAGAATCGATTCGATGATGAATCGAGATTGTGTGGTATGCTGAATAAAATTAGCAAAGTCCTACTAAAAATATTTAACTGAATTTTTTTAAAAATCAGTTATTATTACAAAGAGAAGTTTGTTTATAATGACGTCAAAAAGGACATTATGGAAAAATGCGGGTTGTTCTAGTTTTAGGGAAATGCGAAGATTAGCTCAGGATAGGAAAAAGTGAAGATACGTGTCTAATCAGTCTTAGGATGAAGATGCTGAAAATTTAAAATTGAGAACATTATATCAAACGACATCGTGGTTGTTTGATGTAAATTTTCCTCTTATTAGTTAACAGTTCTTCCCTCTGCCCCTGTCCATTTTTGTTGCTCCACTATGACGTAGTGTCGGCCATCATTCTTTTCTAATTGTTGCAGTTGTCGGCCATCATTGTTTTTTAATTGTTGTCGCATTGTCACTGATGTCGGCCATTATGGTTTTTTAATAGATCATAGATAGTAATCAATGATTATAATTTAAAGGAATTGTTTGTAAATAGGTATTCAACACATCTTACACTTCAGCATAAGAAATTGCTGATATTAACTGTCATTTACGTAATACTACGTTGTCATATTTTTTTTTATATATAATATTTTCTTTTGAAAATCTACCGCCAGAACAAAATGAACGAAGTATTCAAAGGTCATTTTTGTTTAATGCAGACTTTCTTGTATAAACACAAGGAAAGCAGGATCGAGTTAGTCGACTTATAAAATAAACACTGCGATATTGCAACTGAGTTCCAGCAGAATGAATGTAGTTGTTTGTAGGAGTGCTCTTCGTTCTAATTGAAGGGAGGTTTGCCTCATTATGCGTCAGTTAAAGAATGGATTCCAAGTATTCTTCTCTCTAACGAGCCAACCCTTTACATTCTGTGACGCTAAAAGTGTAACATTAAAACCTCCCGACTCCCGAATCGAGCAACAAATTACGAAATTGTTTCGCGGTTTCTAACATATTTCCGGACTGTATATCGCTGTCTCCTTATCCATTTAATAATACTTGCAGTAATTGAAATTCGCTCCAAAAATGTTGTGTATGATGAGAATACAATAAAAAAAAAATGCTACAACTGATGGCATATTTGAATGCTTTTTGAATGGCATAATAATGAAATAAACATTGTTATGGGCAGTTGTAATGGGGATTGGAGGGGATAGGGAGAGATCCAAGAAAGATTCAAGGACTTAATCCCCATTGATAAAAAGTGAGGGCCGTGAAGTGGTGGCAGGGGAGGTAAAAGCTAAAAATGAAAATGGTTAATGTCTAGATGATGGGACGATAGTTCGGAGGAGTGTCGTGGTGATGGGTGGATGGGGTAGGGTTAACATTGAACGACTTGAAAATTGCGGTAAAAATTGGGATTGATAGCGTGGAGGGACAGGGAGTGGATGTATAGAATCTTTTTTGTAAGGTTTAGTATAAATATTAATTAATAAGTTTGAAACTGTCTAGATCATGGAACCCTCGTTTGGACGGGGATGAAAGGGGTTAAAAGGTGAAGGAGCTCCTAGAACTCATCGCCATTGATAAAAAGTGGGGGTAGTGGAGGCGGGAAGGTAGATTCTAAGAATGAAAATTTTTAGCCTCAATTATTATTGTACAAGTGTCAGTTAACCTTAACCCCGTCCAACCGATGATTCCATCATCTAGATTCTAGACAATTACCATCGTTATGTTATTTATTTCGTGGTCTATATGTATATTTTTCTACAGTTTACCAAATAAAAAAGAAATCATTTTGTCTTGAAACTTTTCACTATTCGTAACTCTCTTTGGGAACGCAGCATCTGGAAATTTCAATATCTTTGCGGAAAGTTGGCAGATGTGAGGCTCATATAAAGCCCTTTCAGAAGTAAAAATGAAGTTTAAGAATCAGCAGTAGTTTAACAGAGTGTCATTCGGCGTCCCATGTCACGTTTCGCACGGACCGATGCTCGCTGCAAACTTTAATTAACAGCGAGTTTCCCGTCACCGGAAACTAGAAATTTGCTACCGATTTGAAATGAAAGACTCGCTGATATTACCGGCGAATAACTGGGTAATCGCTAACTTGATCTGGTTGATACTGTTATGGAAGTAATTTCACTCCGATTCCAAACGTCAAGCTCTCAAACTTGCAAAAACTCAACACGCCCTAATTGCATTATAAACTTTCAAATTAAGAAAATCAAATCGAGTTCTGTGGAGCTAACTAAATGAGCCATTAAAATTAGGTGTCTTCAGGTTGACTATTTATCTGAAATAACGTTTAATAAGTATGCAATAAAAATATGTATAATTGTAACGAAAATTTTTTATTTGTAAGACAGTAGGTGCATGTTTTCAGCTTTTATGAGCAACATCGTTTCTGAAAATCGAACATACGAAATTATATTTAATAAATCTTGATAAAATCACGCTAGAGTGGGTCCGAATTTCTAAGTAATTGATTTTTGATATTTGAGATATTGGGTAAAAAGTTATTGGAGGAATTTTGTATTAACCAGGTAAGGAATTCTAAATCGTTTAAGCCAGCCAACTGTATTTGAACATTTTTCATGTTTCGTTCTCGTTTGGTTTTGTTAAATCGACCAAAAAAGGTTTACTTTCGGAAAAAAGGGATGTAGTATCTACAATCCGTTTCTTTCAGCTTGGGGAAACGATTATGGAAAACATTTTTCACGTGTGGTGTATCAAAAAGTTTTCCAACATTCCTTCTGTTTTCAAGAGTTATATTTTGCCTTATATGTTATAATCCAATTTATAACCCTAAAGGGAAACATCCTATTGGAAACATTTTGTTCCTACTAGCTTAGGTTGTACATTTTTTAACTAGTTGAAACTACTAAATTAATCTTAGCCTCTACAGAATTATTTTATATGAATTTTTCTTGTGCAAGTTATTTGTCTAAAATGATATCCACAAGCAATTGTTCAGCTCCTTTGAAACTAAATGTTTTTCAGACTCAAAATAATTTGTATTTACGTTTAGTGGGAAACATTACAAACACATACGGAACATCATTTTTTAATGCTTTTAATGAAACAACAAGAATTTCTTCTTTATCATAAACAGCAAAAGGAGACAAAAATGATGTTACAGAAAGCTCTCATCAAACAAATTGCTCAATTTTAAATTTCGTTACAAAGCTGGATGCTATTGAGAAAATGAAATTCAGTTTCAGTTAGCAAAACCAATAGTTTATTGTATTTGTACAGAGAGCAACAGAAGGTACAGTGGGTGTCAGAAGTAGTTTGACATGCTTTGGACTGTCATTTTGACTATCCCCAAAGAGTCGTATAGTCGTAAGTAGCAATCAGCCCAAAAGTGTTAAACGGAAAGCAACACTGGACACTGAGACACAGAAGGAGGACTCACCTTAGCGTCTATGAAAGCACCAAGAGAGTCCAGCATGGTCGCTGATGTTCTCCTTCGTCGGACACATCACACTCGCGATTTTCTTCGGCTCGACCTAGGAGCATTATAGGCGTGGACTGTCCGGGTATGAGGTGCCCATGGCTCACTATGCGCCCCACCATACACGCACATACCCCGGGACGCGCATGGTCCTCATTGATTTTAGCGACGCCGACGACGATGTCGACGACGACGACGACGACGACGACACCAACGACGCCGATGCCAACTTTTCAAAGCCTCTCGCCCGATCGTACATATCAGATAATGGAATTATTATCGTCATCCGTTATCTCCTGGACCGCCACATGCCATGGTCGATGTCGCTGACACCACAACTACGGTATTGTCGGTTTGGACACTCTGTTTGTTGTTCCTGTCTGTCGGTCCGTTTGTCCCAGGACGAGTAATAATTGCCACCGGAAGGGTGACAGGTGGGACGCGCAAGTAAAACCGCGAGCGGCCTCGGAGCCGTGGTTAACGGTCTCGGAAATCAGCGGAAGTTAAGGACGCCCGGAAAAAGTCGAACACCGTCCTGTATCTACCTGATCTCCTGTTTGTGGGAATTATTAAAACAGTTTTTGATCGTATATTAAGACTAACCTTAATATCATCATCATCATAAGGTTGTCAGTCCTAAGACTGGTGGTACACGCACCACACTAAAACTAGAACAACCCACATTCTTAACTCTTTTCGAACAGTAATCTAATCTAGATCTACCTCCTGTTTCTGCCTCTAATATGTATCTGATTAGACCTTCATGCCTGAGAAGGTATCCTACCAACCTATTTCGCCTATTTTTTATTAAGTTCCATAGAGTCCTTTTTTCTCTTATTCATTCTAATACCTCTTCATTTATAACCTTCTCTATCCCAGATATCCTCATCATTCGCCGGTAACACCAGATTTCCAATGCTTTTAACCTTCTTTTCCGCCGCGCCCACCGTCCGTGTTTCGCACCCGTACAGCGCCGCGTTCCAAACATACACCTTTAACAATCTTTTTCGAATTTCTAAATTAATCGTTCGCGAGCAAAGAAGTGACTTCGTTTTTATTAAAGGCGACACGACCCTGCGCTATCCTTTGCTTTATATCCCTACTAATCCTTCCGTCCTGACTTATCTGACTTCCTAGATACCTAAAATCAGCCACTTCTTCTAATCTTTCGTCTCCTATATTTACATTCGCTCATCTTTCCCTACTTTTTCTTCCCTTGCATACCAGAATTCTTGTTTTACTTTTATTTATTTTATACGAAACTGTTTTGTCAATACTGCTTTCATTTTATTTAACGCTGTTTCCAACACATCCTTACTAGATGCCAATACTGCTTTATCATCTACAAATCTAAGCATACTAATCTTTGGCCCCTCTATATGTAACCCTACAGTACAATCTACCCCGTTAGATATGAATGTCGAATAGTTCTTATGTTATAAGTAAAAAACCTTTTTACAAAAAATATGATATCAAATTTCAACACATACTGTAGGTAATAACAAAGATCGGTAATTTTAATTAATTAATCAATCAAATTGTTCAGTAGGGATAATAAATTTTTATTTGGGTTTGATCAAAAACTTTTAATTTGAAAGCAAACAAAAAAGCTAATGGATTATATTTCGATTTTAATATTAATTTTCCCAACCCTAATATACGCAGAATGCAAACATTTTCCTAAATTTCCTCTCATCTTAAGTTCCTATTGCATCTTCTACATTGAACGATAACTATACTATTATTTTAATAAATAATTATTCAAAATGTTTGCGCTTACGCCTCGTACGTTGCCTTTTTATAATAGATCAGTCCTTGTATGTTGGATTTTATAAGACAAACAACATTATCAAACGCAAATTAGTTAAACATTCCATTGTAAGAGGCAGCATCTCCTAGGCAAATTTTCCGAGAGTGGGATAATTTTCATGAAAATAGATGCCTAATCAATGAAACTTAATTTTAAGTAATTGAACGAGAAAAGAACTTTGAAACATACAAAACCATTCTTTTAATTGTTAATGGATTTAATTAGGATAATAAAAATTATCAGATAAATCGACAATTCCACACGGGTGACAGCAGTTTTCGAGTTATTTCCTAGGACCAGGAGAACATGATATGATATAATTGACGTGGAAACTGCTTTTCTTTTATTAGTATGAAAATGACGGACAAATCGTTTACTTGCAACTTTGTTCGAATGAACTTAAAGACTGAGTCGTGTCTTGTTATGGGCATTACAATTATAATTAAGACTAGGGTAGTACCTACCGTTAAATTTAGCGATGGTTATTAATTGAAAAGAAAATAATTACTCCAATTAATCGATTAGAAGCTGAGAAAAAACTGACTTTAATAGTCGGGCTATTATTCCAATTATAATCGATTATTATCGATCGATTAATCGGATAATCTCTAATCATAACCAAGTTCGTAATAAAAAAGTTTATCAACCGAAAAAGCGTTTGTTTTTCACTATTTTGTGGTCAAATATGCTGAAAATTAGAAATTAATTTTCTTCAGGATCTTCAGGACATAAACGCAATGAAACGTAATGGATCATCTGAAGCATATTTTATAGACGGCTCGTAAATAAAAGTTGCACTAACGATAAAACTCGTTTTCCTTTTTAAATCCTTGCTAGGACTTTCATCTTGCTTGATTTTTAGTTTTATGATTTTGCCTGGAAAAACCCATTGTGTAATTTTTTTAATGTGCGGTGTTCTTTTACTACGCTGTCTTCGGTTTTACTTCAACCAACATTGACCAATAAACCTACTTATAACATAATAATGAAGTTCTAGAGATTTTAAACGAAGAATACCGGCTCGCATTTAACAAAAGAAATCACTGGATGCATTTGAGATATGGTGTTATAGACAGAGATGTGCAAAATAGTTTTTTAAAAGTATTTAAATACTTTTTTGATTTGTTACTTCAAATGTTAAATACAAAATAGAGACGCTGATGCCAAAATAGTTTGTTTACCGTGAAAGATCAGAACCAAAATAGGGTTGCAAACAATTTTATTGATGTAAAATCAAAATCAATCACTTTATATCAAAATATTTACAACCCCTTTTTGTTTCCGATCTTTTACCCATGTAATAAGAGAAAGAAATGGAATGCATAGGTTCTTTAGCTTTGGGTTCATCTAATAAGTGAAGTTTTTCGAATCGTTTTCTAAGATTTTGGATTATAATAATTTATTAGCACATCACAATATCTTGTAGTTTTCAGGTTTACACACCTGGTGTATATCAATTCGATATTGTTTTGCTAGATCATGGACCATGGCATTGAAGTCGGAAAACAATATCGATCCAATATTTTAGATTAGCTATTTCCAAGGAGTTTAAAATGTTTTGGGCTCTCTTCAGTTAAAGAATTAAAAGGCATTCATAGAATGTCTCTTCGTCCCTATTTTAAGCTTCTAATACCTTCAATGGCCAATGTGAGCAACTTTAATTCATGATTTCATATAATGTTTGATCGGTGATACTACCAAAACTTTTAACGACAAAAATGTATTTGGCATTTTACAAATAGAAAATACGTTTGGTAAAGTATTTTAAATAAATTACAAAATGGTTTTCTCAAGAAAGTATTTAAATGCAAGATAAAAACAGGGATATTTTATTTTGTATTTGCATTTTAAATGCACGTATAGTATTTCAAATAAATCACATCTCTGGTTATCATAGTCAAACTCTAATAATAACTGTTACCAAATACAAACATAAAAAATAACAATGAAGAAACGTGTTGCTTTTGTGGGCAAAATCGCTCGTAAATTTTACGAGAGGACGAAAAAAAGAAGGACAATCGGGAGTAAAAATCGTGGAAACACCAATTTATTAAGCACATTTAGAAGCTGGGAGCTCGCGGACACCATTCACAAAGCGTCCCACGTACAACAATATCTGACCCAAGTGATTTGTATCAAAGCGACTCTTTTGGAAACTTGTCTGAATGCAGCCAGCAGGGAAATGAAGGCTTGGTCAAGGTGGGGCACGCGCTAACAGGATCGTGACGTCACTCACGTGGCGAAGAAGATGCCCTCCTAATAAGTCGATCACTCAGCTTAGTTTCTTTATCCGTTCACATTTTTATATTCCGCTTTAATGCAGTTGCCAATCCCGGTTTGCATCTTAACGAATCCTTTACGTAGGACATCATTTTACTATATAGGGACACAATAAAATCGGATACTATGGAACTATGAAATCAAAATGAAACGGCTAATTCCTGATATCTACATATAAACCTCTTATTCTACGTAAGGAATCATCCCAGGGACATCGTATGGCGACCTACATAGATTGGCAGTTTGCGCCATCACCATCAGCACTTTCGAAAGAGGAAGAAGAACAATTAATAGAATTGTACTGTCAATCCAGCATTGATCCCCAATATGCCAAAGACAAACTGCTTCAATTTTGGAGTTCAATTGCCCAAGAATTTCGAACCATCAGCACTGCAGCATTGAAGGTTCTATAGTTGGGGCGATCAAAATTGGCAAACTGAAACATCCTACATCCTTAACTTTTTGGGAACAGTAATCTAATCTCTCTACCCCTCTTAACTCCTCTTTCCGCCTCTAATATGTATTTTTGACGTGACAATGTCTTATAATTCGATGGAGTCGGCTGCACGCACGAAAAAACATGACTCATGCGGCGTTACCTCGCTCTGAGGCGTTCCACTTAAGGCTTGAAGTGCAAGCGAGAGCGCGGAACGAGCGATAAAGAGGCACAATCGGCCTCCGCGTTCGGCAGCGTTCGACATCTGTCTCTCTCCTACTTGAGTGAGCGATGCGTCCGCGTGGACAGCTGCTATACAATAATACATTTCCATTTACCTCCTTCTCTATATCC